TGTATTGATTATGCTCCAGATTTTGAAATGAGGAAAGTAAAAAGAAAAGTACAGTTACATTGTGAATATTTGCCCATTTCTTACACCGTTTAGTAACTTGAATGAAAATGAATTGAATAGTGTCAAAGGTAAGTTATCTTTTGCCAAACCGGTTCTTTTATTTTTTCGGAGTGTCTATTTGCACCCTGGGTGTCAATAGTTCAATGGACACGATTCTTCTATTTACACCCGTCTCAAGAAAAAAGGGAATAGTGACGTGTCCGCTTACGTCATTTCCTGTGAAAAGTGCGGGAAGCTGGATTTGACAATCCAAAGAAATACAAATTAAAACAAAGGTAGGCTAAGGTAAGGTAAAAAGTAAGTCAGTGTTGCTACAAAATATATTTGCAATGCCTGTCCGACCATTACGATTAGTGTAATTAAGTTGAAGGCATCACAGCATCATGGACAGTTTATTTAGCTTGTGCGATGTATAGCTAGCGGTTATGCTAGTTGGCCTGTCTATTCAGCAGTTCAAGTTCAGCCTTTCCACTAGTCCAGTGCTCTGAGGGTGCTAAGCACAATGGTTCTTTAAATCAATATGGAATAGTTTTCCAATGTGAGATATCAAACTGTTTATGAAATGGGTACCATTGTACTATAATAATAATATGTACTATAATATACTCACTATAAATTTTCTCTGGTATACCAAACCTTGGTATAATATCCTTGCATAGTGCTTTAGCCACTGTCAGAGCGTTGGGATTTTTTCGTTGGGAACAATTATTACCAAGCAATATTTTTCCCTTCACTTTGGTTAAGTTCTATGAAGTCCATGTGAATTATTTGAAATGGATATTGTGGTTGTGGAAACCGTCCTCTTTTTGGTCTCAAATTTCCTTGTGAATTGTGCTTTGCATAGGTTAGACATGCTTTACAAAAATGTCTTGAGTAAGAATTGAATCCATAGGTTGTATAGTGTTTATCTACCTGTCCTACCATCCCTCCTGTTGAGACATGTGTTAAACCATGGCTCAACATCTATATTCTGATTTTGGTCGTATAATAACTGGTAAGGCTCCTTTTATTAATCCTACGTCAGAAGGTCCGGTAGACCACACTGTCTGAGGTACTTCAGATAAGAAGTCCTCATCTTCCTGTGTCAAAAATATTCATCATGGCTGTTGGTCAAAAGGTCTCAGATTAGCCTGTCCAGTCATCCTAGTTGTCCAGAATAATGAGCATTTTGTTAAACCAGTCTTTGCGCTTGCCCAGGTATTTATTCCAGTCACTATCCAATCTCTGGCATTTTGTCCTCTATGTACCATTCTACCTAGATCTTTCCATTCCCACTCTATAGGCTTGTAGAGTGAGATGTGTGGAGGCAGGTGATTTCTGTACATTTCATCTTTTGTGTGTTGATCCCATGGGAGTATTACACTAGCTGCACTGGCACTGTTTGCATCACTATAGATGTAGTCTACATCTATATTTTTGCGCATTTTTCTTTCATTATTTTCAGTTCTTTCTTTTATTTGCTCACGCAACCTCTCGAGTTCTTGCACATTTAATCTTCCCTTAAAATTTTATTTTGTTATCCATTTCTCTAGATACTTGACGTTGTTTTGTCTTTTACTTCCATCACCTTGTAGTCTTTACATATTAACCTATCTGTAGATCTCCCTGTTAATTGGTTGTTTCCCATTTTGAAACAATTTGGACCAGTTTTGTCACTCCTAGGGAGGTCTCTAAAAACTGGTTCAAATTTTCTTGATTGAGATAGTGATGAAATTCTCACTTCAATCCATCAAGGTGGAGAAATCTTGTCTTTACATCCACAAAGACTCACTATTTCCTTTCTCAATCGGTTAGTATGAGGACAATAATATAGTGGTTATTATCTTCCATTCACATGACCATTCTCACTCAAGGACTTTTTCTCTTTCGTTTTCCAGAATTTAACACGAAGAGGACTGCGCCTTAATGTATTTACAGAATTTTACTCCCTAGCCTGTTAAATTACATCTAGTAGTTGGACATCCTTTAGTTTTACCTATTAGAGCCTAGGATTGATAGGGTTTTTCTACGCGCAATGACCCTCAGTCACTCGCTTTTTAACAAAAGTCCTACTCACTGTCTGTTGTCTTTCTCCCTCGGACTCCCGTCAACCATCAGACTCCAACCGACGAGAAGACAACCATCCCGGAAAGGGTCTCAAAGACTCGCTGTCGAGTCCACCCTGGCCACGGTCTTTCTGGATTCTCAACGTCCGTTGGAGTCCTCAGGTGTCTTGGGATCCAGCTCGAAGGACCAAGTTAATGTCAGGTTTAAGCCCACCTAAACATTGTAAAAACAAGAACAAGAGATTAATCAGGTTTTACTCGCGAGGAGAATGGACAGAAAGTGCATACAGTTACAGCACTCAGGTCCGTCTCCTCTTTTTATTTCCTTAGGGTGGTCCCTAGTTACAATGGGTGTTTCTGCTCTAAAGGGAGGGGTTGAAAACAGAAGAAACACCAGACATCATTATTCATTGTATAAATATGTATTATCAACAGCAGGTGACTGGTAAGGTGCACTGTGTAGCATATCAGTAGTCAGGGAGTCAGGGAGTCCTAAGAGACAGTTCCTTCTCTGCAACCTTGAGAACTGTCTCTTCCCAGCAGAGCGTTGAATCAGCCATTGTGTACGTGTTGTGCAGAGTGGGTGAAAGGTCACTGCATACAGTTTCTCAAGCACAAAGACATTATTCAAAATTTACACAAAAAACAATACATAGAAAATATGGGATAATATACAATTATTCTAACAGCCACCATTTTATCTTTGTTAAGACCTTAAGGGTAGAGTGGGTTCTTATACTACTGGACTTAACCAGTAAATGAACTGCTTATACATTTTGGATTGTAATGTTTCTTAAATTGATAATATGTATATGAATGTATGCAAATTGGAAATCCTAAAATAGAATCTTAAATATTCAACCTAAAGCGGTAAAACTAAACAAAAATGGAACAAAAACTGCTTGTGCATTGTAGCTTACTGTGTGCCTGTGCCTTGCCCTTACATCACAGCACTAGCCGTAATGTGTTTGTAGAGGCGTACTTTATGTCTTTGCACTGCATAACCTAAGTGACACAAACAGGCTGTGAATGTGAGGGGGCAGTGGTGGAAACATTTGTTCATTTGACGATCATCACCGCTTTCTCCAGTCTACACTCATCTCTCTCTTTTAGTCAATGCCCAGCCATGTTTCTTCATTTATAAACCATTAAGATTGCTGCGTCTTCACTCACCCATCCACTCTCCCCTCTGTCCGTTGTCTGATGTCTCCGAGGCGTGTGGTGTACTGCAAATTTCAATGAGCACATAAGCTAACATACAGCTTTCTTCATATTTACAGATAATGTAGCTGCCTGTGAGAAGATGGACAGCTTTTTGTCACATCTCTAAAAATAGCATTTTATGTCAATATACCACAAAAAACAGTACAGTATGTTCCAAATATGTTTATTTAAACATGAAGCAAAGACAAAAGCTAGTCATCCAACTGACACAGTAGAGCAGAAGCTTTGGAGATCCAATAATCACTTGGTTGGCTGGACGGAAGCATGACTGTCACGACAAAGTTTGTAGAGTGGCCTGGATAGAGACAAAATATGAAAAAAAAATGTAATAAATAAACAGCTTGTATAGTTTGGATGGATGTTCTCTATTTTAATGAAGTCATATTTTCAGATGAATGGCAGAGGACTATGGAACTCCATGGGGATTTGCTGTTTTAGAAATAAATATTTCAATTTGAATAATATGACCCACCCACTTGGTTTCACAAACTTGCAATTTTTGTCTTATGGCTTTAACTTCTTTCAGCTGACAGCAATTTGGGGCATTCCCTTCTGAAGGTGTTGTAACGTAACTTGTAACTATTATTATTTTTTGTTTTGAAAGAGAACCCAATTAACTTTGTGTCAGTTTTTGTTTCATGAAGCTATACCCAGTAATTACAGATATACTAACCATAAACCATGTGCCAGTGCTGGTTAAACTAAACAGTAAAACCAAAAAGCTGTCCTCCAGCTCAACTATAGGAATGCTAGAATGTTGTGATGTAAAAACTGGGTTTGTTAATTCATGGGAAATACTATGCAACCTCCCAGTACACACCAGTAGTGGAGAGAGTCCCAGCCCGAGCAGAGGTCTTGTACAGAGGAGCCTCGTACAGTTTGGGATCAGGGGTGTAGTTCTGCTGAGGCTCAAAGTGCACCACTGGTAACATGGAGTTCATCACTCGGGGTAAAGCGTCTGCAATCACCATGTTGTCATCGTCCCAGCGGCTCGCGTCCATAAACACCCCATGGATCAGAACTCCGTCCTTTGGATCAGGCAGCTGTTGTGAACACAAGAAAATATACAACCTTAGCATTTAATGAACAGCCTCAAGATATAGGGTCTATGCCCATTTTTTTCATGTAGTAAAGTTTGTCTAGCCCCAGTACAGATTTATTGTAAAGCTGCTCTTAGGGTCAAAATGAAACATGTCATGTGCTCATAAACAAGTCTCTCATACGTGTCATGTCTGCATTTAATTATAAGCTGTTTTTGTCTGTACACTGTTAGCATGTTATTTGTTTTGGTAGTTGAATAACATGACAGCAAAAACACTTCTCATCAGGATCATGTACAGCACTAAAGTTCATACATTATCCATTATTTAGACATTTTAAATGACTCCTTCACCTTGGTGTTTCTAGGTCTAATGAAATAATGTATATGTCTAGGAACTACCTCTAGGTCTTAGCTGTCATGAAATTGATGTATACCGTAACCCAGCAGCCAAACACTTTGTATCAAGCTAAAAACAAACATTGAATTAAGCATTGCAGGCATAATAAAAAGTTTAGTGACTGCATATGAACATAGAGGAGCTTCATAGATTACAAATCCACTGCCATAGAGGAATGTGTGGCAAGTATTTTGAGCTCTGCAGGACACAACATTACAACATGTGCAAGGCAAAGAAAGAATATGTCTAGTATAATAATATAAAAATGCACTTTTTTCAGCCCAGCATTATTACCTCATCATCCATGTCAAGTTTAGCATTTTCTGGGAGACCTCGTATCACTTCACTCACAACAGCCTGATCCCTGTAGGCCGGCACCATGTTAAAGCGAAAGCTCAACTCATCGATAGGCAAATTGTAATGTCTTGCATGATTCTGCAGCACTCCTATAAAAACAGATTAGAAAGATTACTCTTTATATAATCCAACCTTATGTTGCTGCTATGGTTCATTAAAAAAACGTGACAATGTTTTTACCAGTGAGAAAGCCTTGAGGGAAGAAGAACCCAGAGATCCAGAACGATTTGGGCTGTCCACGTGTGATCCAAGTCTAGCAAAGGAGGGCACAAGAGAAGAGAAGAGCAGCTTTTTTTTTTTTTTTTTTGCTTTGCATGTTTTACTAACCATGGTGCATAACCAGCCTAGTGTATCTTATGGGACTTTAAAGGGACCCAGCTCTCTATAAGTATCAAAAATCTGCATAAACCTAATATTAGTTTAAATACATATTAGACAGTATAATATACACAGATTTTTTTTTGTTCTTTTGCTTACCTGAATAAAAAATGTTCTGAGCACCAGATCTTTGACCCATGAGGCGAGTGTTTTGAGGGAGGGGTATGCAGAGTTGGCCCAGTGACTCGGGACCTGGTTGTTGAGGAAGCTCGTGTAGATACGGTCCATCTCCTCTGACATCACTACCAGACCCCCAATGGCCTTTTGTAGCGTTACAAGAGAAGTCTAAGAGACAAAACAAGGTATATAGCCAACATTTTAACTTTTTTAACAAGGCAGATCTGTTGGAGAAAGTGTTTTTACAATTTTAACTAATTCAATCAATATTTTTTAAAGTCCACACTGATCTCTGCTCCTGCTTCTTTAACACCATAGGATTGGCAGGTAGACTTGACAAATGTAATCACAGCATGCATTCCATTCGACCTAATTCAATTTAAATTTAATCAATTATACATTTGATCAATTTTTATATATATTAAAAAAAAAGCACATTGTACAACAATGTACAACTTGACTTGAACTTCACAGTATACACAATGTACACCAAGGGCTCATTCAAAGTGCATGGTTTTCTTACGATATGAAAACATGAATCTTTTAGCAAAGAGCACAAACCATAAATATAGTCGTGTGCCTCACCTTGAGCACTTTGAGTAAATTGTTGAATCGATCTGCCTCCTGGCCCAGCACGGTTGTGAGCGAGTTCAAGCGTCCATGTTCATCTCGGATAAACAGGGACTCTGTAGCTTCACTCATGTCCAGATGCTCTGCGGGTGGACAGAAAAATAAAAAAAAATAAAATATATATTGCCATACTAAATTGGACTGGATAAGAACAGATACAATATGCAATTTAATGGGTACTAACTAGGGAGTTTTTCCAAGATGGACATAGCCAACTCGCAGACTACATCATCATTACTCTTGGCCCCATGAGTGGCTGCAGATCGAGGGTTCACATCCAGTATGGTGCTAATTAAAGATAAAGTTTCTTGTCGCTGCAAATAAAAAGTAAAACAAATAGTGAAATCATGCTTCTAGGCACACAGAAAACTAAACCAAACTTGACAAGTCTAATTAACACAATGAGATAAAAAGCTTTCAGATGTTCTCTATGAAGTTTTTGGAGACTTAATTAATTACCTGAAAAGCCAAGTTGGCGTTCTCGTGCATACCAAACACCTCTGGATCATCAATAATGGGGAGACTTTCTATATAATCCCTGAAGTCCTTGAGATGACTAGACTCTGGGGCATAGTAGATCCCTAGCGCACAAACAAAACCAAAGTTAGTACTGTTGGCCTAGATTGTAAATGTTTTGTTTATAAAAAAACTATATGTTGTTACCATGGTAGAACTCCTACCTGAGGAAGAGTAAGTGTAGCCTGGACTCAGAGATGGAGGTGAGAAGAAGCCTTTCAAAATGGTTCTTAGGCATCGCTGATCCCAAACATCTGTCACTCTGCCTCCATATGTGATCTCACCTGAGGAAGAACATAGTGAAATCCTTAAAAACAGGTTTGTAACAAAACACCAATTTTTCTCATTCCCATTCCTTGTTTTTAAAAAAAATAGCTTGGTTAACAAGGTTTTAATGACATTTAGAACACACATATGAATTATTGTGATGAGTGAAAAAGTAATGAAAGGACTCTCTAATGTGCTGGTGAAATGGTGGTTTTAAGAGTCAGTGGTGGGAACAAAGCAAACAACTGACAGTTTGCCTGCCTCTATGTGTAATATTTGTTTCTTTGTTTCCAAATATGCATTGCCATAGTGTGTTTACAAGCTTTAAATAATCTTTTCTGAATTTGTTTCTGAGCATTTGCAATTAATTAAAGCAAAAACAATAAAATAATATATATTACAAATGTTCTTATTTTGTCTATTAATGACACCAATTTATATTGAGGGACAGTTATCCAATGTATATGAATAAAACAACCTTTAATATAAATGAATAATAAATAAACTGGTCTCTGAATGCTCATTGTCAATTAAAGTGAATTAATGATTATGTCTTGGAATAAAAAAAAAAAAAAAATCAAAACTCCTAAAAAGTATCACAAACACTCGAACTGATAACAGGCTCCTGAAAATGTGCGGTTTAAATATATATATATATATGTACATATATATACATATATACATATATATATATATATATATATACATATACATATATACATATATACATATATACATACATACATACATACATACATACATATATATATATATATATATATATATATATATATATACACACACCCCCAGCACGATGTAACTGCAAAGTATAAATAAAGGATGCACACTGGTTTATTATTAGTAAGAAAATGTTAAATAAATTGTTTCCCTTTTTTCAGATTTCTCAAATAAAAATAGCAGATTGTTATGTATGACAAAAATGATTATTAATATTCTCACCAGTGATGTAAACAAGTGCGTCCCACGGGATGGAGCCGTCTTTGCAGTACAGGTTGAGGTTAAGCAGAGCACACTCCCTGTCACTATCATTGAACTCATAACGGATGTTCCAGCCTAGAGGGCCAAACTTCTTCCGCTCCTAGTCACAAAAAATAAAGCACAAAAGATATGCACATTGTGAATTATCCACGTTGACTTTAGGCAGACAGCACTTTATGAAGCAAAGAAGAAATTGCTACCTGGATTATTGCATGGAAAAAGCATATACCAAAGACGATTTTTCTCCAGTGGTTTCCTAGAACATGGTCCTCAAAGAAGTTTGTGGTGATTTCTGTGAAGGCTCTTCTCATATTTGCTCGCAGTCCTTTGGGAGGCTCATTCGTCACCTAGTAATCACATGAATTATTCAAATGGGAGATCGAGATGAAACAATGCATTCAAGTATCAAATAGAATAAACCCTCTTGTATAGGACTTTTTTTTTTTTTTTAATCAAAGACCTAAGGCTATATTCATTGTAATTTTGAAACAGTGTGATGTCTAATAATCATTAAATCCTACTTCCCTCCAACCTTTCATATAAGATGAGGTTATCTAGTAGCTGTGCATTTCTAATAAAGCAATAATATTTGTCTTAGAATATCAATTAATAGGCTTTTCACCACTGGATAAGATAACGGGTGTTCCACTGTAACAAAATATCATGCATTGTCTCATTAAGGGAATGAAAATCAGATTGATTGAGCTTTTCAATTAGCCTTATTGCACTCTTATCACACCAAAACAACAAAAGAACCATTCCCCGCAGTCTGAAGTTTGGTGATTACAACGTCTGAGTGCCTTTTCGCAAACACACATTCCATCCAGTCATTTTAAAACACTTTTCCTAGGTGAAATTACATTGTAATATTTGAATTAAATAAGAAAAACTACCAAAATAAATGTACAAACCTTAACAGAGTTTTGCAATACTGTGACAGGAAATACTTTTGTGGGCATAGAGCTCAAGAATAACCGGAAGTTTTCATGGATCTTTGTATCTACAAGTGCAAAAAAAAAAATGTTTTAATGAATTAAATAAGACCTACTTATACATAGATTTGGATAATTGAACTTGAATTATTGAATCTTGTATACCTGGTTCTGAGAATGTTTTGATAAGTTCCTCCATTGCCAGCATCCAGGACACAGCTAAATGACAGTTCTGAAGGAATACCCAGTTCCCACTTTCCATTGCTTCACGTATCATCTTTTCGGCTATCGGCCCTTGTCCCTGCCCCAATGAAATAGACTCAACCCTGCATAAAAGAAGATCAAGTGAGCATAAAACTCCAACCAACATGCGTTGCCAGTAATGACTAGCAGTAATGTTAAATACTTTTCAAGATAGCCTCGTTCTTTGGCAAAGCGCTGGAAGGCACCCATGGGATCAGAGCCGGTGCTGAGGATGAACACGAGTGGGGTGCAGGGAGACATGTCGTTGTACAGGTTGGCAAGGTCAACTGGGGGGTTCTCCACAAACTGTTTCCCCAAATTGACAATCACAAACTCAGTAGCAGCGAATACAACCTGGAGAGGAGTGAACTCATTTACTTAAGTGACAAGAAACAGTGAAAAAAACTAAAAAAACAAAAAACAAATAATGATCCTCAACTAATAATGAGCATGATGAACAAAATGTAATATTCATTATTGTTTTTGTCTAGAAGGGCCAATATTAAGCTATTTTTGAGTCTATGTTATGATGTTGTTACCTGTTGTTGTTTTTTGTTTTGCTTCATCCACACACATTTAACACACAAGCCCTGCATATTTAGGATGAGTTCTTCTCTCAAACAGACAACACTCTTTTCTACCTTGTGATGTCATGTTATTTTGAACATGAGATATAGACGGACTAAATGAATGTGATTCTTCTAACTAGTTTCATAGTTAGTTCATGTTTGAGTTCAAAATACAAATTGTAATACCAAAGTGTAATAGAATTTTTTATCAGAAAAAAAATTTAAAAATCCACAAATTTTTCACGACATCAAAATATTTTTCCAAAAATGTTGTGGTTATGTGTTTACCTTCTCTTCCATTAAGCACTTGATTAAGATTAATTTCTGGAAAGACCCCAGTCTCTCGTTCCAGTGACCCTTGACTCCGCCTTCCTTGGTCCTGTTGGATTCCTCAAGAGGCAGTAGATCTTTGACATAGCCCTCCCAGGTCTCTGGATTAAGTGATGCTTGAAAACGTCCTGGAGAAGAAAGAAGTGAAAAATGATTCCCAAAGGTTTATATGAAAAGCCTCTTCAAAAAACCTTTATATGGAGCACATGCATTACAGAAGTTGTATAATGTGTTGAATATGCTTGACCTGCCTGGACTTTCCATGATACTACTAAGAGAGGTGCAGTTACCTAGTTTAATATTGATGTGAGTCTTGGTGATTTCATTGGATATGCCTTTGAAACAGCGCAGGATGTGATCAAGTTGAAAACAAGTCTTCCAGTAAAAATCACTTATCCATGGTACATCAGGACGATCTGGGTTTTCCTAGAATCGTAAAACAAAGTGATGAAAAAACATGGAGTCGTCTGACGGTGATTCAAAACAGCATGCACAGGTTCCTTCTGTAGAAAAGGACATAAGTGCTCATGCAAGACACATTTAAAAATCATTAGAGTTTAAGCTTCTGACAGCTGGATGACAGATGTAAGGATCATGGTGGGCAAATGACACTTGTTTCAGTGTGATGGAAAAAAGTGACATTAGCATGTGGTGCTATATTTTCATACAATTCATACATTTACCTTCGTATTTATGATTAGCATAAATTAAATTTTTCACCATCTCTCCCCATCGCTGAAGCTGTACTGTTACGTTCATAGTAGCTCACCTTGTCCGGTGAGGCAGCTCCTCGGAGGAAGAACTGCCACTCGACCTCTGAGATCTCTTGTCTCTGCCTCATGATGTCCACACACAACATGAAGCTGTAGATGAGCTTGTGCTGCTCAAACAGACCGCGAGACACGTTTATGTAGGAATTCAGCAGGATCTGGTCAAGTAGGATCTCAAGACGCTCCTCCAGGATGCTGCTCTTCTGGGATGTCTCGATTGTGGTGACAAACAGCTGTAGATTTGTTGAAAGAAAAACAAAACACAAATGACAGATTGAGATACTGATGAATTTGGACAGTGTAAAAAATCAAAGTTGATCTATTTGAAAATGAGACAGCCAAGTGTTCCTTTCCTTTTCCTCAAAATCTTTTTAATTCTTTAGGGTAAACACGTCTAATTTTTAACATAATAAAATAACACATGGCCTCAGTACAGTTGTAAATAAATAATACAATTTGTAAGCCATGTTCTTGAATTGTGACAGTAAAAGAAGCTTTTTTTTTTTAAATGTTGGTCTACCTGTTTGAAGTAGTACTTGAGTGAGAACTGGTACATTGGATCGATTTCAGAGAGACTGGCGACAACAAAATATAATACAGAGCCGCGGGTGGCTACGGGGCGGTATCGCTCTCTTGCTGTATTGATCATGACCTCTGTGGCCTCTGCTTCCTCTAGGCGAACTTTTATAGCCTCAGATGTCACCTGACAAAAACAAAAGCTTATTTTCTGATAGTGACAGACATAAAAAACATGTACTTCATATCAACATACCTTAGACTCCTGCAGCGTTTGAACAAGCTCCTCATTATCAAGTATATTTCCTTCAGATGTAAACAGCAGCTTCAGTATGCGGTCCTCAATGTCTTTTAGCTGGTTGCGGTCTTTGTTAATTCGAACAATCAGCTCATTCCTCTGCTCTTCCAGATGGGGACTCTCCAGGCGAACAACATCACTAAAAATAGCATTCAAGACTTAGAAATTGTAATTGTTGGTGGAGCTATAGGGCATTTTCACTTACCTTAGTAGTTGATCTTCTAGGCCAGACTTGGTCACAGTGAAATTAATAATAGTAACTTTGATACACACCTGAAAAAGTGGGAGAGTTACTTTAAAATAGTACAAAAACGTACATGTTTTAGCACTGTCTCAGGTTCTTCTTGACCCATGGGAAATTTGCATAACCAGCAACAATATCATGTTTTATTACCACGATGTTAAAATACTAGAGAGGGCCTGTTCTGAATAAAGTGGATAGATACACAGTAGATGCCTCAGCAGAAGACCTGACATGAACAAGTGACATGCATTGATTTATTTAACAGTTGCTGCTCTGAAACCGTAGGGATTTTGGGATGTGGCACTACTTTTATCTGTGCTTTTTCTACAATACAAAAACATTTACAAGACATTTATGTGTTTCTCACCTCTGGGAGATAATGTGGATTAGCCATTTTTGTTGTCATATAAAATTTGAAGTTTTTGTCATAGTCAATATCTGAGTCCCCAAGATGGATCAGAGTACGTCCACCTGATACAAAAGTCTGTTTCAGCAGAATAGGCTCCAAAGCAGGGTCCAAGGTCTCTTTAAGCTATAGATAAATTAACAAATAGTCAAAGGTCATTGTTTTTGACTAATATCAGTTCTATTATCACAGTAACAAGGCCTACCTCCTCCAACAGCACAGGCGAGCCGAGACGGATTGCATTTTCAAGTGTACGTAGAAAATTTGGGTCTGTTAATTTGATTACTTTTAAACCATTTTTGCCTTCTTTGGAACGAATCCACCTGTTGGCCTATTGAAACATAAAAATTGATTAATTTCATTTAAAAAATGCAAATGGACTATTTGGATCATGCATGGTATTTTTTTCAGAAAGTGGCCCATTATACCTGGTCCTGTGGATCTATCATGAGAGGCCAACGGCGGCCCTGCGTCACCAAGATGGCGTTTTCTGTGGAAACTGTGTCTCGAGGCAGACCTTCTGTGTTCCACTGACGAATAACATAAGAGTCACCCAGAATCTTAATCAGGCTGAAGCTGGAGCTGATGGGAATATTCAGTCCTTGGCACTGTTTTATCCACTGCTCGATTAGCTAAGATAATATGTGGAATGTAAAAATTGTGCTATGATGACAGAATTATTTCTGTTATTCATTCAGTTCTGACAGGAGCTTACACTTACCAGCTGTCTATAGTGTGAGGTAAATGCTCCATAATATGCCACACAGGCAGCAGCAATAAAGACATTGCCCACAATGTTGATGATCTCCTGTTCAAACTGGGCAACACTCTGGTCCCAGCGAACCTGCTCGTCTCCAAGAGCAGATGTGAGTTTCCCTGCTCTACTTAACCGAGCCTGTGTCAGAGCCATGGTGTTCACTAGGTACAAGAGATTTAAAAAAAATAAATAGAAAATTATACCATTCAGCGCCATACTGCCCAGAGGAAGAGGAGTAGCTCTTACCGAGATCCTCCTTCTCTCTCTCACTGCTCTTAAACTGCTCATGTAAGACACGGATCTTGTTCTCAACTTCCATTAGCTTCTGCTGCTTGTCCCTTAGGGTTGCCATAGTCACATCCAGTTCTTCCTATATGAATTAGATTTCAAGGAACTAATATTATGTAACAATATGACAATGTCTAATCTGGTCTATATAACTGACTATAGAACTGTAAGTACAATGCATTACCGTACAACTAAAAATAGCATATTAGCTGTAGAAGGACTAGTGTTAGCAGTGTCTGCAGACATACTTGTGCTTTGGCCAGTTTTTCTCTTTTAGGGCGAACTTCTTTCAGAACCTTGCTGTACAGATCCATCGCTCTGACCCACATGCACATTGATTTGCAGGCTCTGGAAACTTTCTCGACCTATACAAAAAATAATTAGAAGAACAATTTCCAGTACAAAACTACCCTGCTATGTATGAGTTTTAAATCATTTTCAGACAAACCTTTTCGGGGATGAAATCTGGATTATTAACATATTTCACTAGCTTTTGCAGGATCTGTGGCTTAATATTGTCTTTGTCATAGTCAGTTAGACGCTTGAGAAAATTTGAATCTCCAAGTAACTGCTTAGCGCTTGGCCAATCTGGTCTGCAAAGGATGTAAAATAGACATTATCTGGAAGTTAATGGGCAGTGTCCTTTGTGAATAAATCAGTTTAAGTTGACCCTAGTACCAAGGGTTTTTGACACTGTATTTATGACTTCAGACCAAAACAAGGCTCATTTAACATACACAATGCCTTCTTAGAAAACAATGGGCAGGCAGAAGATAATATTGCCCATACCAAAACAGTATTATTTTGACCTAGACCAAATCCACAGCACCGCAGTGAGGACTGATCGATTAAATTAGAGAGGTGACAGAGGGAAAGGTGCCAAGTCATGAGATGGTATGGTAATTCTCTGGATGTTGACTATAGGTGTATAATATGTGATATTAAAAAAGGAAAATCACTCAGCAAAAACAGCAAAAAAGTGCTGAGGTTCTCACTCACTTGCAGTTGAGCAGGATGCAGACAGCTTCCATGACGGTCATGACCAGGTCAGGGGGCTTAGTAAACACTTTGATCTCTGAGATGTCAGCCTTGTCCAGGGAGTTCAGGGCCTGATTGGCTCCCTCCAGAGCAGGCAGAGCCTCATCTAAGGTCCCTTTGGGCATCATCAGCAATGGCTTGCGTTTCGCTTGCCTGGTACTTAGCTGAAGCCTCATCTTCTTTAACCACACTACGGACCTGTTATATATACACACATACAATATACACACATAAAATGACAAATATGACAAAAATGTTACATGTACAAAAAGCATTTGCATCTAAAATGTTGCACAGCTGTGTTTCATGCTTACCTCATCAGCTTTCTCCTGATCAACAACGAGCTTCTTCATCAGAGCATCAACATCAATAGACTTTTGTTGAAGAACTGGCTCCAAAGCCGACAAGTCCACTTTCATTTTGTCCACTAGCTTATTGGTCTCAAGCAACTTTGTCAGTCCATTCTTCACACGGTCCTTTGCCTTTTAATGAACATAGATGCATTATTATAGGAATGCAGTGTACACATATGTAGAAATGCCAATGAAAGATATTAACTTACAAGGACTAATTGTTGTTTCTTTTCCCCCAACATGGACAGGTAGAGGTTAATGAGCTCCAGGTATGAGGTAGGTGTGGTGTAATACCTGCGTCTCAGCTCGGAGTAGTAGCGCTCAGCCATGTCGGACACACTCACATGTATCTCCACACACATGGTGGAAAAGCTCTGTTTCAGAAGAGCACTGCCAAAGTCTATGTTCTGGAAAAAGGCCTGAGAGACAGAAAGCAGAGCCTCCCGTGGCCACTAGAGGAGGAAAAATACATATATTATTATTGTATATAGTACTGTGAATGCTAAAAATGGCCAGTTATGTTTAAATGTACATATACCTGTATAAACCAATCAATAGTGCAACAGTTGACAAGTGAAGGGAACATCCGGCATCGGGACCTAAAGGCATCACCTACAGGGCTCATGCACAACACTATGTGCAGTTTCTCTCGAACACGAGAAATGAAGTACTGGAAAACCTAGAACGTAAATTGAAATGCAAGCATATTTTGATAGGCATTTCACACTTCTTGTGACAGAAAACTTCTAAATATTGTTTGAACTTGTTTTGGTGTTTTGTCACTCTTTGCTTGTACCTCGTCCCGGTTCTCTTCACTTATTCCAGCCTTTTTCGCTTTTGGCCGAGTGGCTGCCAGGACTTGTTCCAACTCATCCTTCTCAAAAAGATTTGGCACTTCACCAGAATTCAGCATGTTGTTGATATCTTCCAAAAACTCTTCCACCACAATCTGCAATAATAAATAATTCAAAGTAAGATCCTGGATTTTTGGGCCCCTATCCATCAGAAGTGGTGCATTTGTACCTGAGTATCAGTAAAGAGAAACACCATATCTTTGCCTTCCACACCAGCCATCTTATAGAGCCTCCTCAGGTCTTCATGAAAGCTGTCATAGTTGTAGCCTCGGGTTAGTTCGATTTCAAAGCACCGATAGCCACACATATGAGCTGCTAGTCTGGTTAGAGACTGCTTTCCTGTTCCTCCCACCCCCACAAGGAGTGCATTTCCTCTCTCTTGGCGAATCACACGGGCAATTCTAGAAAGAATATAAAATTGTAAAAAGTTTTTCCTCTTTTTGTCACAAATCTGAGCAAAACATAAATCTAAAAACTCAGACATACCTAGAGACATGTTCAGTAGCATCCTGGAAGAAAACCAACTTCGTCTCCTTGGAGAAGGTCAGGTTGTAGTCATCAAGGTAGTCTTGCAGGACAGCCTGTATCTTCTCTATGTCTGTTAGATCTTCATATATGCGGTCTTCTTTCTCTGCACCCACCTATAATACATCCTCACAATAATATGAAGTAACGGTTGCATGTGAACGTTCATAAATTGTGATTAAACTTACCGTCATAAAGTCCCCGAATATAATTGGATGTGTCACAAAGCTTTCAGGCTCCATAGTAATGCTAAAATATCTACCTAGGTGATGAACAAAACTATTACAACACATTTTTGCACCCAACATAAAATGAATGTGTGTTGTTTTTTACTTACTGGCCATATCACAGATGATGGTATTGAAGTAAGCCTTATCCTGGTTGTTTATAAGACGGTCATGAAATACTCGCTGGCATTCATGACAGAAAAGGCGAAAGATCTGATTCTTTGTTTTCACATAAGTAGAATCACACTGTAATATGCCTGTTTATTCATGAAAAAAGACAGACACGCGTAAATAAAATAATAATAAATTAGCTAGTCTTTTTATATTCCTGCAGTATCATGTCTGTCTTCTGATTTAGCATTGTGTTTGGTTTTTATTATTCTACAGCTTCATGTGTTGTAAATGTCATTTGTTCTTCACTTTGTTCCTAAACAGCACGCTGTCAGATGTGATACTTGCATCTGTTCTCCACGAAGGCCTGTGTTTACCTTGTGCCTTAAATGTCTGTGTTTGAAGAAGTTAAAGCATTACTTTGCATCTCACCTTGAACACACTTGGAAAGGTCCCTGAGATTGAAGACATAGTGAGACTTTGCTGGAGTGGGGAGCAAATCCAAACTCAAACGATTGTAAATCTCCACAGCTGCGTCCACAATGTGAGAGGAGCAGGCCTTTGCTTCCCCTGCAAACTCGGTGAGGAAACCATTTAGGATAGCCTGGAGCGGAGTTTAGAGGTAAAAGAGGAATAAGAGAAAGGCTAAGAGAAAAGGGAACAACTACATGGTCTGGCCTCACAAAAATATTGATTGGAAGCTGAAAAGGTGTGTGACGGCTGAATAAAGTTGGTATTGTGAACAAATGGATTGGTAGATAGATAGAGGTTTTGCTCTCACCGTGAAGATCTGTTTGAGGCACAGCTCTGATGGTGTAGGCAAACACAGCATACTGAAGTGGCGGATAAATCGAGGAGTTATTGGGTTGCGGCCACCTCCCGGAGGAGCACATGCAGCTGCAATAGTCATGTCCTTGTACAGCGAATAGAATACTTGCATTAACAGGAAATACAAATGTGGTGTGCCAGACAAACAGTATGTAAGCCATGTTTCAAATTAGAGTACTTTTTCAAAGATCAAATACATTTACTTTACAAAACATATAAACAGGTTACCTGGATCTCTTTCCAAAAGAACTTTCCTCTGTCGTAGAACCCAGAGAAGTCTTGGAACTGACGGAGGAGTTCGATGGGTGGCTGAGAACCATAGCTGTCCAGCTTAGGCATGTTCAAGTCATCCACAAAGACTACCAATTTTTTATTTCCAGGAGCACCTATTAAAAACAACAATTTTACTTTACCCAACCACACAAGCATTATATAGGCTACATGTGAAAGAAAAGAGTAATATGTCGTGGCCAATGTCTTCCAGTATTGTATATTTGTTGTTTACCAAGAATATTTTTTCTCTTCTTTTCCAGTTTAGACTCAATAATTTCTTGGGTGCGTGCAGAGGAAGTTTGAGCAGAGAAGTTGATGAAGATGGGAAGATATCCTTCCTTTTCTTGTATCCTGTTTAGTAGATCACGGGCAACAACTGACTATAAAAACATCAAAATACATGCATTATGTTTTTCAAATAGTGTTTATAACCTATTTTTATAATACATCATAACTTTGCATATATACCTTCCCCACTCCAGTATCACCAGTGAAAAGTACAGAGCGTTGCACAGACAGCAGTTTCTCCATCAAATACCCATATCGCACAGTGTCTGGGGTTGGGACCAGCATCTCAAAAAATGGCTGCTCACTATTGTACTTAAAAGCAGGAATGATTTTGTCCCACGGTTGGAGACGAATGTTCTTAAAATTCATGTGTACATTCCGTAGAACCATTTGCTCTGGAATCTATAGTTTAGGATTAAAACAAACATCGAACAATTATTAAACAGATGCAAATCAAAATGTTGCTATAACTGTTTCTTTCTTAAACTAAAGCATCAACCTATGGTAAATAAATTAATGTATGTAAATGATTAATGTTTGTACCTCGGCATCCCTGTTGCCTGAAAATTGTTCTTTAACAAAAGCCTCAAAGGACTCCCAGTATGTGCTTGTCAGATTGCCTCCAACAGACCAAATATAGCAGAAGACAAATGTCTGGCAAATAACCCTGTTGAGATCACGTGCATCCTAAAAAAAACAAGACAAATGCCCAAGATAAATCTTGAAACTGTGATGTTTTAAAATCCTCCACTTCAGTAAATAAAGGAATAATAACAGATGTGAATCTTTAAATTGTGATCTTCTACTGTTTGTATACCATTGTAAATCCAGGTCCTTCCTGGCCAAGCAGCAATACTTCAAGTAAAGCACAGAGAGTGGTGACTTTACTTATGTCCACTTGGCGAATAGCCTGTATACAGTTCTTTGAGACAAACTGAAGACCCTTCTCCACGTAGTTTTCAAATAACCCCAGGAGATATTTGCTGACTGCCTCTGGAAACTGAAAAAAAAAAGTAAAATGAATGATAAAATATCAGTTTTCTTTTAATTAAATTAGCTTTTAGATTTTGCAGTAAATCATGATATGTGAGCATGTTATGAGTGGTAACAACACACACTACTATATAAAATATCGAATGAGTTTATGTAAAATACAAACACAGAATAGTGTAACCTTGTCTCCGAGACCATTGATCCATGTCTGAACATAAGGCATCCATTTGAGCTCATCTGGATCAATATATACCATTCCACATCGACTGACAGTTGCTGGAGAAGCCACAGCCAGATCTTGAACCTACAAAAGCAGTTACAACAATTTTAAAGATGTGCAAAACTATAACAAATAAAAAGATTAATGTACAGTATATGCCAACCTCAAACACCATGTGAATTGATGGAGTGAGCTTGATTCGTTCACTATTGGCCAGACAGAGCATCTTGTTGTCATCAAGCACAGTGTTCATGTTCTCAATCCACAGGGCGTCCACGGGGCCATCACATATGACCCATTTGTGATCGTCAGTCGTGTCACTAACTGCATCACGAACACTCAACGCCATCAGTCCATCAATCCACTCAAGAGTCAAATTGTTCATCTATGGAGAACAGAAAAAACAAAAAACAAAAAAAAAAAACATTCCAGTACATCAATTTTCTAAAATATCTATTAAATTAGTGTTGATGATCAGCAATACCTCGCCATAGAGTTCTCCCATTGTCACTGATTTGGGGTTCAGAACATAGGTCTTGACTGGCTGGTAGAAGGGGTTGGTTTCCTTATACTCTGAATTATAAAGGGTCTCCAGTGTGTTGGCCAGAATAGTGTAGACAGTAGTTTTACCCCCTCCAGTTGGCCCAACTAACATAACTCCATGGCGCACTAGCATAGTCTCATACAACTGGATTACCTGAAATTCAAATTAAGAATACTATAGTATTTTTATTTTTTTTTAAAGAAAACGTCTTCTTTAAAAAGACAAAAAGAGTTGACAGTCATTACCTTTTTGGTCATTGCAGGCAGAGGTTGTAAATTGCCCTTAACTAGACACTCTACAATAGTGGAATGTAGAACACCATAGTCATGCTCAGGGATTGACACCCCAGGAAATAAGTCAGATAAGATCCCACTATAAGAATGCAAGAGCATTTTATGAAATATAAAAAAAAAAAATAAACAAATTAAATTAAAATATATATTTTCTTATGTTTTCTAACATATATGACCAAAGTCTTTACCCAAACAAGACAGCATCATCTGTGAGAAACTTTGGAACTTTGGAAGGTTAGAGTCCCGCAAAGCTCGGATAAGTACCACATCTTCACTGAGGTGGGGGTTGCTCCTCTTCAGGGATCTAAATATATAGACATGCAAGAATAAGAACAAGTAGGTGTATGCTTATTTAAGCTAAAAACACTGACACATTGCAGCATAGAAGAGTTTTGCTTTGCCTGTTTTTATGATTTTTAAACAATATGTAGTCAGTGTAATCACAAATGCAGCACAACTTTTCCCTTTTCCTCTTCTTTATCACTCAGTTACACAAACGAAATGTGGGGAAAGCAAATGGCCAGTCGTGTGCAATGGCAGACAACGAATCACAAGTCATTTACAGCACAAAGAACTTTAGCTAAGAACAAAATTTGATCACATGATGCTCTCTACACTGGGTGGAGGTGAATCAATTTAAATGAGTTTAAAAACCCAAGCAAGAAGAACAAGTGCAACTGGGTTTTTCTATCTCCAAAATTGCCTACTCTCCCTCTCTACCTGATAGGTCTAACCCTAAACTTAATATGTTGCTAAAATCAATACTAGTTTACTGAATTGTGTAGTTTTCCATGGGGCTGTATATTATGTTATGTCTCTCTTCAATTCCTTGTGATTGTTTTCTGCTTTATGTAACTAAACCTCTGTATCTAAGTACATGTGTTTGCGTGTTTATATTTCTCTCACCCAGCCATCACCAGCACAGATTTGACCGCTCTCATGCCAAAATCATAGTGGTCTTGTTGTGACAGCTGCTCTGAGCATAGCTTGTACATCTGGGTCATCTTCCTAGCCAGCGTCTTACTTGATTCAAATCCTTCAGAGTATAAAATCACCTGAAGCAAGAAAAAGACACATACAAAAAGATAAAGTAAATACAAAAAGAAAAAGTTAAAATGTTACATAAATTATGATACAAATATTACCTCAGCAATAAGAGCATAATTAGGGACCATCATGGCTATGGGTCTGAATAAAGCCTTTAGATTGTCTGGCAACTCTGTTCTACCAGCATAGCCAGGATTCATAGTAATAAAGGCAGCACAGGTCATCACTAGTTTGATCTCCCTTCCCTCAAATCGAAACCTTGACAGCTGCAAAATATTAAAAAGAAAGATGTTACAATTTCCATAAACACTGTCTGAATCCAAAATGTATGATAATGAAAGAGTGAAAACATTCTTTAAGCAGACCTTTGCGGCTTTAGCATTTCGAATAGTGATGAGCTGTTGAGCAATCACAGACAACACTTCAATGTCAATTCGATTAAACTCATCAAAGCAACACCAAGCTCCAGACTGAGCAAGACCACTGAAGAAGCGGCCCATCATCTGAAAGACACAATATACATATTATTATTATTATTATTAATTATTTATGTATTCATTTTTAATATATAAATTATGTTTTATACATAAAAGCAGCACACAGTAAATGGAACCTCAAATTATGCACTTTTTATGTCATTATTCCACCTAGTGTCAACATTATGTAAATTCAACATGTTAATTTGAAAGGTTTATCTGGAGAAAAAGGCTGTGTTTACAAGGAACATGCAGGTGTCCGTACAAAGGTATTTAATCCTGTCTAACCTTGTAGTCCAACCCATCAGAACAGTTGAAGACCACACACACTGTATGGCTAAAGCCTTGGCCAGATCCTTGGTGGTTTCTGTTTTTCCTGTCCCAGCTGGCCCTGCAGGAGCACCTCCGAGGTCTAACTGCAGAGCTCCCATCAGACATAAATAGCAACGATCCTGAAAACAAAACAAAGCAAAAAAAGGAAAACTATAAATATAACTATAATTAAAATGTGTGTGTAAATTATGTAATTGATAATCAATAAAATATGTACTGTAAGTGGAGTAATAACAAGCCTTGGACAGGCTCCAAGGTATTCATAGCCATATATATAGGTGGACAGAGCCATAGTGGCAACACAGTTGTCCAAATCCATGTCCCAGTAGTAACGTAACTGTCTCTGCCATTCAAAGTTTGACCTGGAGTCCACCTGTAATATTGATATATGAATATAATTACATGCAAAGTAATTAATTTATTTTATTTATCAATTCATTTACATAACATGTAAAATCACAAGTGGTAAAATGTACCTTCTGTCGGACAAGATCTGTGACAATGTCTCTGGCGTGAACATCAATGGTGATGAGCGCGGTGATTATATTCCGATGTAAGGGTGGTAGTTGTCCCCTTACTAAAGCTGCCAAAGAATTCAGTCTCTAGAAGAAGATGCCGAGGACGTTAAAGACTATTTGAATGAAATAAGGAAGAACACACTGAAGAAACTTACATTAACGTTGGTTTGTTCAAACTGCTGTAATGCAACACAGTGGTCATGGTCCCCTTCAAGGCAGGCATCCATATCTCTGCACCACATCATCTGGGAGATCGTCAGCACCACCTATTGGACAAATCACAAAAACACAAAGAGATGAAAACCCTACACATCATTATAAAATATTGATGTGAATGATACAGATACAAGTATACAAACAAATGCACAAATCATATTCTTAACACGGGTAAGATATGTACTTTTATTTTCATCCAAAAAAAAATATATATATATATAAAACAAAAAAAGACATTTACTTTCCCCCATTCAGGTTCAGCAGAGTCAGTGAAAGTCTTGTGTTGCTTTACCTGTGACGGATGTCCAGCCACGACCCATTCCTCTCTGGACTTGACCTGGTAATCTGCTATGGCGGCTTTGCTGAGATGCTGCAGTGATACAAACATGGCCTCCTCCACCTTACACAGCCAATCTTCTACATTCCCCTGAGCCTTAAGACCCTTAGTTAATGACACCTGGAATGAAGACACAGAACTCATGAATTAACAAAACACATTTACAGGCAACACCTAAGATAATTTGATTGTTTTTGTGGTTGTTTGTTTGTGTTTCATAATTGACCTTTTCACCCTCTGGAGAGACCATTTTCAGGATGTCTTTGCTATAAATTGTGTCTTGCTGAGGATCAACGTCACCCTCTGTGGCATCTCGAGACTTTTCAGGCAACAGGGCAAACTCTAGCCGTGTAATGGAATCAAAACATTTCCTAAGATGGGGCTGCACTGCTTGAGGATTTCTTGTCTGGGCCAGAATCTTAAGCAGCTCATCATTAGATAAGAAATAAAACCTGCAATGAAAATATATTAAATAGGTCCACATTATAATATAATAATACAATAATAATAATACTGTACCTTGGGAAAATTACTCTCTTAGAGTCAAGATAAGCCTCAAGACATTTATGTATCTCATCCAAAAGGGCATTGTTGCTCTTAAACGTCTCTAGTAGATCTTTGTAAAAAATAAATTAAGTTTTGTCAGCTTTAACCTTTTGCACTAAATTATTATATACTCCTAACAGTTACTCACGAGGCTGAGTCGCTGCTCTCAGAGCATTACGCATTATTTTTTACCCTTGACATAATCATCTTCCAAGACTTGTCCACTTTGAGAAACATCTTCGATTCTGCAGGAAGCTGCCTCTTTATGTCTGGGTCAAAAAATATACTCTCCAGATACAGCCAATTTCTTTGGCATGTGAGCCACTCATCCTGAAAACATTTTAGAAGTTAGGTATAGTGGAGAATAACTGGGACAAGGCGTGGATTTTTTTTTTACTGTAGAATACAACCAGAGATATATTGGACTCTCTGTATACATCTCATTTAAAAATAACAAAAATGAATCTTCAGTTGAACATGTTAGATCTAATTGATTTTACCAATGTTTGATTGAAAAGATGCAACTGTCTCAGCAACTCATCCACCCTGGACTTGATACGAGTCACATAACGAGATGATGCAACTGTCCCAACATTGATAATGCTGTCATCCAGGGCCATCTTTAAAATACAAAAGAAACACACATAGAAAATGCCATTTTGTTTTAAATTATAAGATAATGCTTGTGCACGTACCTGTATTTCATCAGTTCCACCCAAGATAAAAACTTCTTTGGAGTCGCCATGAGACAGAACAGTGAATTCTGTAGTTTTCCAAATATCCTCCACCTGTAGTTATTCATTAAGACATAAGTAAAATGTACTGAATGGAGGAAATAATGGGGGAATATCCATACCTTTTTAATTAGTGTCTCAACAGAGGCCTCTCCTGAAGCTTGTCCTGAAATCTGAAAATAAAATAAAGGAATCAGTTTTTGGAGCGGTAGTGTTGTTAAGTAGTCCAGAATGATTTTGGGCTTCAGGAAAATCAAAGTAAAATAAAATGATGTAAAATGCATTACCTCTTGGATCTCTGGCCCATAGCTGAATAGATCAAGCTCCTCTAATTCTGCAATAGTAAGCTTCTCCACCTCCAGATTTTGTCCCACCATATACCCCAGAGTTTCCCAATGTTCAGGTTTTATACATGGGTTACGGAGATCAGTTATCACAGGAAGCTAAAACACAGACATAAGATTTTGTTAGATTTCCAATAACATGTTGTTAATCACATCATGTTAAACTTACCCTACACTTCATCAGTTCCACTTTCTTCTTAAAACTTGGCACTAAATTGTTACATGGCAGCCCCTTCTCCATTTGGTTTGCATATTTAGAGTATTTAGTAACTTGTGCTGCTAACATCTCCAGGTCCAGCTTCGAAAGCAAACTCTGGGTGTGAACAGTGACAAGTGTTTCAAAGTTTTGATGCAAAAAAAAAAAAGTTCATATGCAAATAAATAAAATAATTCTAATACATTTACAGTGTAGTAATGCAATGATATTTGTTATATGTAACATATTTAATATGTTGTTCCATACCTTTCGCCATTTTTCCTGTAAAGTGTCCCATTCCTCCAAAGAATCCCACAGCAGCTGCTTCAGTTGAACTTTTGTGGTCAACATTTTCAAAGACTCAAACTTCACCTCCACCTATTCGTTCATAAAGAGAGGTTCAGTGGTTTTGTCAGCTGGCATGGTTCAGATAATAACAAAATATATATTTTTACATTAAATCTTTTCTGATAGGACATATAAGTGGCTGCCTGGGCACAAAGCTCATCGACAGAAATCTGGATTTCACCCAAAAGCAGTCGTACTTTCGCAGGGTCTGCATTGATATCCAGTATTTGTTTGTCCTGAAAATTCAAATAAAATATTTTTTTTAAAGTTAAGATCAAAATATGTCAAAAGGCTTACAATAAAAAATATTGTAAATACCTGTGATTTATGATCAAGTTCCATAATTTTTTGTTTCAGATCGTTCATATCTTTCTTTAGTGAAGAATTGAATTTTTTTGTTATGTCCTTTACGGCCAAAGATGCATCAAGAATGTTAACTTCCAATAAGCTAATAGCAGGTTTTAATGAGGCAAACAATGAGGCATCTTCAGGTGGTGTTGGAACTGAGTAATTGCCAATTAGATTAAACAGCTGACTGATTGCTTCTTCCTCTTCTGTTAATCTATGGATCTGGTGAAAGACCATGGTAACACTTTTGCTATTGTTATAAAAAAAAAAAAAAAAAGATGATTATACTGAGGAAGTTAATTACTTACTCTCTCTTGTATTTGTTCCAAGAAAATAAGGTAATTGGCTAATTCAGCCGTGGTTGATGGACTAACTCGCAGGTTAATTTCGGCGTCATTAGTCTCTTTAAGAACAGCGTCGACCTTGTGCTTAGCAAGTCGCGTCAGGAGCCCATTGATGACCTAAAACCAGAAATAACTGTTGCACACACTTTGCAAAAAAAGAATTGTGATTACTATGAACAGGCTCATAATATGCTCTACTTCTGACCTCTAAACAATTAAGAGGGGACTGCACAAGTTTCTGTTTGAGTTCTGTTTGTTCAACAAGAAGTAAGCCAAGGCTCCTCTTCTGTGGAATAGTTAAGGCTTCATTGTGCTGATTGTGATATAGAGCTAATGCCTTTTCAAAAAACAGAAAACCTAAAAAGAGAAAAAGTCATAATAAGGTTTTGTAAAGATTGACTGACAACAAGGATTAGTTAGGCTTTTACCATGTTCTTTTTGTTGTAATGCTTGAACATCTAAATTTTTGTTTTCCTTGTAGAATGTCCGAAAATGCTCAAATGTGTGAGCATATACACTTGCGGTATCAAAAGCAAAGTGAATTGCTGTCTAAACGTCAAACAGAACAGCAAAGTATGATTATGTTAATATTCACATTATAAAATACATTTATACAATTATAATTAATAGATATAGAAACTGCACCTTGATTTCTGACATAGCCTGTTGAAGGTGACTATCACTGTATAGAAGGGCTTCAAGACATGGTTGTCCCTTTTCATCCTAAACAGTTATATATAATTAGCATGAAAATGTCTAATCTAAAACAGCAAGCCTGAATGTTATATAATGTAGGAAGTATGAGCAATTTTAACCTTATTTTCTTCTGTCAGGTTTATGAATTCATCCAAGTCTTGATCGGACATAAGGGCATGCACAGATAATACAGTCTCTTTAAACTGCTCAGTCAGCTCCTCAATAGCCCTCTTTTGATAGAATAATAGGTTACACATGGGTGGTATTCAAATAAAAAATGACTATGTATTAATGTACCTGAAATTTTTCCTCTGATGGGGCATAATGCAACATATCCTCAGAAAGTTTGAGTTCTGTGATGAAAATAGGTTGGCCTTGGACAGCTTCAACAGCCTGATGAAGACAGGAGATTACTTGGATAGAGAACAAAGTACTAACATTAACTTCACATTAACATGGTAGTATCATACTGTGTTATTCTTATCCTCATTTGCTGCAGGCCCCGTTGCACCATTGGCCTGTATGTCCCAGTTTTGCATTTGAGAAGAATCTGGTGTTTTTTCAACTTGCTCCTGAAATGCCATCAATATTTTCTCCACACCATGTAGCACCAACATATGCAGTGTGTTGGTAATTATGAAGTCAATAAGACGGATAAAACTGGAAAGAAAACAAAAGTACATAATAGAACACCTATAATACTGAAAACATTAAGTAAATGTGCTTTTTTAAAAAGCGTATCTAATATGAGGGAAAGCTCAAACAATATTTACCCTTGTAACCGTTTTGTGAGAGAATCTCGTCTTCTCTCATAATTTTCTTCCTCTGCAAAATATAATCATAGATTTACAGAGCAAGCCTTATCTTTGTCAACCTCACACATTCAAATGAGCTTACACACCATATTTACCACAAGGCTTCAGCTGTAGGAAAGCGTTTCGACAAGCACTTATGGCCAGCTCCTTTACCAACCCATGAAAATTATCCAGATCATTGTGCACCTTAAAACACACACACATAGTACAGTATACGAATTTTGGAAGTCATTTCTATTATGCACCAGACATTGTGATTGTACCTCTTGTAGCTGTTCAAAATGAAAATCCTGAAACTCTTTCAGAGTGTAGGTCCGTTTTTTATCCAGGCGAAACAGGCCTGTGGTATCAATCTCTATGCATAGTTTCTTGATGTCTAGTAGAGCTGGACCAAGAGACTATAATGATACACAAACCAAAAATTATATTAATAGAGCAAATTGTTAAACTCATGTGGTAATGTATCATTTCATTACAAACCGGATCAGTAAAGAATAAATTGTTTCTCAGATGTTCTTGAGCTAAATGTATCTTCTTCTTAGTGACTTTGTGGCGCCAAATATAGAACGGCTTTAACAATTTGAAATTGGCAAAGAAGGGGATTTGGATCAGCTTGCAGTATGAGTTGTATTCTTCTTCCCAGCGCTCAAGAGATGTTAAGTCACTTTTGTTTCCACACACAGAAAGCACACCCTTGTGGCTGATTAGCAAATACTCGTCTTTACTGTAGACATGCATGATGGGTTCAGAACTAGGATCCATCTTTCCAATTGGAAATGGCCATCTCGGGGGCACAGAAGCTATTCTATTTGTACCTGACTTGGACTGAATGGCATTGGAAAGAGAAAAAGGAAAAGCAAATTAAAATCCTCATTAATTTTGTGTTATAAATGTGTAAATAAATTAATAAATAAAGTACTAGATTTACTTTCATCCCTGACCTTTGAATGTGACGGCGGTGAAGGTAGTCGTGCAGGAGGTCGTAAAGATGCTATTCGATGTTGTTTCACTGGAGGTTCTGTTTGCCACACACAAAAAAAGATAATTACACCTATAATACCTACGCCTTCATTAGCCTTAATAAAGCATGAAAAAAAAAAAATCATAATGAAGAAATAGCTATCAGTATTTTATGAAGAATCATTCAGGCTTAGTCATTACTTAATCAAGGGGTTAGGACTTAGGCTATTAGGAATAACTGAGTTACTAGGGCTGGATATTATTAAGAAGTTGCCGATACGATACATCCTCGATACACAGGCCACGATACGATACATATCTCGATACACTGCACTTTCGATTCAATATGATATATTTCAAATCGATTCAATACGGTTCAATAAAAAATAAAGGCTAAATCGTGACTGTGACACTAAGAGTCTTTGTTAAACCACTTTTTGTGCAAAGTTCATATAAACATTTTAATCATCAAAACAGTAAAAATATCAAATGTGTTGAATGAATGAGTTTCCTTTCACTCCACAAGCAACAAAACTGTAGCTCTGTAACAAAATAATTTAGTAAAACACACCTAAAAATACTCTTGGTGATATATCGATACAGTAACCCATGATATCGATACTGTATCATCACATTAAACGATACAATATATCAATATTCCGATATTTTTGCACACCCCTATGAGTTACTATGCCTAAATCATTCATACTATTTGTTTATTATGAATTAAGTCTTTCTTTATGCTAAAATAAGCCTAATTGGTGTAGCAAAGTGTTACGAAAAAGACTGATTATGAAGGAGCAGTGTTTTATATGATAAAATACAATAAGCTGACTTACCTTTGGACTTGCTGTCTGAGCCTGGGCGATTGAGAGACACTGGGGTCTGTGATGTACGTTTTCTGTCGGCTGCTGGCAGGGGTGGGAGGATGCTGGAGCGGACGGGGGCAGAACCTTCATTTTTCTTGGAGAGCAGTCGCATTTGGCGTGCCTTCTCCCCAAATTGCTCCATCCTTTCCCTCTCTTTGGCTATGGCCTCAGCCCGAGCCTGTGCTTGTTGTGAAGGACGCACTCTGTGACCATGACTTATGCCCTGCTTCATGCCAGGCTTCAGGTTCTTGCCAGGAAAAGACATGGTTTCTGTCCTTTGAATATAACCTGCATGAAGACAGATGGATGCATTTTGTCCTCTCAAAAATCTTAACTATAAAAACATTTTATTTGAATATTGCTTTGTTTTTACAGGAGCTTGGCCAATTGGCTCCTTTAATTGAAAAAAAAGAGAAATGAGTGCATCAGTGGGTCAAGACAGTAATCATGAATAATCTACAGGTGTTCAGCTAAGATGTGGCCAAAAGATATTTAAAAATAGATTAGAACTGACTTGCCAGAGTTACCAAAAAGCTGTGTTGGGGAGTAACAGATTACATGTACCGGAGTTACGTAATCAGAGTACAAATTATGAGTAACTGTATTCAGTTACAGTTACTGTTTCAGTGAGTGGTAATTGGATTACAGTTACTTTGTTGAAATAAATGGATTACAGGGCGATATTTTCCTGATTTCACATTTTGGGCTAAACCAGGACTAAACTAGAACTAAAACCAGGATTAAACCAGGACTAAAACCAGGACTAAACCAGGTCTAAACCAGGACTAAACCAGGTCTAAACCAGGTCTAAACCAGGTCTAAACAATATGACACTAACAGAAGTGTGAACATAATTTCAGGCAACATTGTCCTCGGTCGCCCCCGGCACGAACAGCAGTATCCCAGTAACCCACGCCCAAGGCCTGGCTCATATTTACTACTGCTAAAATGAATGGAAGTCAATGGAAAAAATTGTTAAAAAATGATTCCACCCACAGGCTTAGTCCGATTGTGCTGAAATTTGAATCACTAATGCGTCATTGTCGACCTGGGCGAATGTCGGGAAGAGAGGGTGGCGTGCCGGGGCGGTCGCGAGTCCCCGGAGGTCGCGTGGGGGGGTGGTGCGCACCGGGGCGAGGGCCACCATCGGCGCTCATTGTGCTAATCTTTTTTGGCAATTTGCTTTCGAAGACCACAGTTCTTTAGTTTAAGGTCATGGTTTAAGGTCAAGGGTATATTTCCTCTGTTATTTCTGGCCATTTTTGTTTTATAATTGAGTTGTTTTGTAAGTGTTGCTGTACTTACTGTTACGCAGATAAAAAGTGCGACCTAATCTGTGAAATCTACTCTGTAAAGTCTCCTCAGTGAAGTCTACTGTTTGAAATCTTTGTACGATTTGCTCTGTGTCAAGCTCAGCTAAATGTGCCTTTTCCGTTAAGCGATATGTGATTTTCGATTTGTGATTTGCGATTTGCCTACTCTTATAATCTCCCCGAGGCCAAACAAAGCTTTGAGTTAAAGCCCACAAAGCTTTGAAGTTTAGCTTTGAGTTCCGGAGTTGCCATGGTAACAAGGCTTTATGGAACTTTACATGTATGATGTCATCGGCGCCGTGAACCTGATGGAACTGGGAGGTTTTCAGGTTCTAGAATGTGATGATGTCATACTCCCAGCCGGGGCAAGAGCCACGTTTCCCTGTTGACTGAGGCCGAGTGTTGTTAAGAAGTCACTGATATGAGACAAACCTCGATACAGTGCGCTTTCGATTCGATACGGTTCAGTAAAAAATAAAGGCTAAATCATGGAAAATCTTTGTTAAACCACTTCTTGTGCAAAGTTCATATGAAACACAAACATTTTAATCCTCAAAACAGAGAAAATGTCAAACGAGTTTCCTTCCACTAAACAAACAACGAAACTGTAGCTGTAACAAAATCATTTAGTAAAATAAACCAAAAATACTCTTGGTGATATATCGATAGAGCAGCCCACAATATCGATACTGTGTCATCACATTAAACGATACGATATATCGATATTTCAATATTTTTGCACACCCCTCTACTCTTTATCACACGAAGACCACAGTTCTTTAGTTTAAGGTCATGGTTTAAGGTCAAGGGTATATTTCCTCTGTTATTTCTGGCCATTTTTGTTTTATAATTGAGTTGTTTTGTAAGTGTTGCTGTACTTACTGTTATGCAGATAAAAAGTGCGACCTAATCTGTGAAATCTACTCTGTAAAGTCTCCTCTGTGAAGTCTACTGTTTGAAATCTTTGTACGATTTGCTCTGTCAAGCTCAGCTAAATGTGCCTTTTCCGTTAAGCGATATGTGATTTTCGATTTGCGATTTGCCTACTCCTATAATCTCCCCGAGGCCAAACAAAGCTTTGAGTTAAAGCCCACAAAGCTTTGAAGTTTAGCTTTGAGTTCCGGAGTTGCCATGGTAACAAGGCTTTATGGAACTTTACATGTATGATGTCATCGGCGCCGTGAACCTGATGGAACTGGGAGGTTTTCAGGTTCTAGAATGTGATGATGTCATACTCCCAGACGGGGCAAGAGCCACGTTTCCCTGTTGACTGAGGCCGATATCGATAGAGCAGCCCACAATATCGATACTGTGTCATCACATTAAACGATACGATATATCGATATTTCAATATTTTTGCACACCCCTCTACTCTTTATCACACTGTACTTTGCCACGAAATATCCAAAAGGTAAACGCACAAATGTTAAACCTGGTATTGAAATGATTAAAAAACTCACTGTTAGAACACAATGGCCACGTTCACATGATGTTTTTAATTGTTCTGGATTAAATTGTTTGGACTTAAAATATTTTCCTTGGAGTTTACATGGAAATAATAATTCTGAATATCTGGGTTTCACGTGACATTACAGGGCGACGTTTGTCAGCACGCAAAATCAGATGGAGGGCAAGAAGTGAACCGACTGGAGGGAAATGCCGATGTGTTGTGCAGTTTACGGCTGTGCCAATTGTTCTAACCGAGAGAAGGAAAAGCGATTTTTTTAGAGCACCGAATATAGTCGTCCACAAAGGTCAGAAATGGGAAAAGCTGACAGAACAACGCCATAAAAAGTGGATTACAAACTAGAGCCCGACCGATATGGATTTTGTTGTGGCCGTTATGAAACCGATATAATGGGAGTTGGCGCTGCCGATAGCCGATATAATCACCGATATATTTAGTGATGTAAAAATTCACTGTAAATGTTGAATTGTTTAAAAAACTTAGGTTTGGCTCTGGTGGATTTTAAATTGGGTTTATTTAGGCAACATTTATTGTTATTCTGCCTCTTTACATCATATTTACAGACAGTAGGTTGGTTTAATGGCATTTTTGCATCACATTCTAGACACTAGTGATGGGTATTCCAGTTCTTTTTAGAGAACCGGCTCTTTTGGCTCGGCTCACTAAAAGCTGCTGGTTCTTTTGGCTCCCAAGTGGCTCTTCAGATTGTTTTGTTGCAAGCAGGACTGAATCAGGACTGAACCAGGTCTAAACCAGGACTGAAAAAGGACTAAACCGGGACTTATTTATTTTATGCTAAACTACAGTCAAATATGCTCGTTTTTTTTTTTTTTTTTTTCTTTAATCCTACGTACACGCAAATTTCTCAAAGTTTCGTTTTTAGCCGCTGCCGCTGTCAAACCACGAATCACGCGGCGTGAAGAGAAAAAAAGTGAGAGAAAGAGAAAACACGGCTCCCAATAAGGATCAGGCGCTCGTCGTTCCCTTCAAAGAGCCGGTTCTAAGAGTCATTTTGTTCGCGACGGACCCATAAATGGTAAAGAAAGTAGCGCTATTAGCCTTTAGCCGTAAATACGTGCGCGCCGCGGTAATTAATTATATGCGCAAATGTCATAATTCACACGTCTGTTCACAGCTCATTTACATATCAATGCAGGTCC